CCAGCCTGAATCCAGGAGGTTACATAGGAGGCGCATTTGTCAGCTGAGAGAGAAAAAACATCAGCCCAAGGACCATCACGAAGAAAATCACGAAAGGAATCCCAGTCAGCTTTAGGGTAGTAGTAGGTGGTGCGATGATAAGGTGAGCCCAAAAAAGAAGTACAAGATGAAAGATTTATAGAGATCATTGCATGGTCAGAACCACCTAAAGGAGGAAAGGGAGAAACTGAACATAAGCTAGGGTCAGAGACAAGACATAAGTCAAGGAGTGAAGGTAAATGATTAGGGTTGTCAGGAAAACGAGTCACAAAGTTAACTATCTGAGTAAGAGATTGAGAAACGCAGAAGTTAAAGGCTTTAGTGCCAGCAGGATCAGTGGTGTTAGAGCCAAGCCATTCAGTGTGATGGGCATTAAAATCACCAACAACAACAATATTGGCAGAGGGGTAAAGAGAGAGGGCATTGTCAATTTGATCAGAGATAACATCTAAGAGAGTGCAATCATGGGAAGAAGGAGAACAATAAAGAACAAAGAGAAAGGTTATAGAGTGAAGAGGTGCTAGGCGAAAGCACATAAAAGAATGGTCAAAGGATTCGAACCTGATTTCACAACAAATAGGGGAATTAATGCATATGTATACCCCTAAACCTAGCATGTGACTATTTGAGTCTTTACGAATCAAAGGATAGTACCCATCAACACTGACATCTGAAGAAGGTATTGCAGAGTTTAAATTTGTTTCACTAAGTGCAAGCAAGTCTGGTGAATTTTGCAGGAGGTAAGACTCAACTGATGGAAAGTTGCTTCGTAGACCGCGAATATTTGTAAAAGATATATTAAAATATTTAGGTGGTGGGGATGGTTTTTTAGGTTTTAAATTTTTGGTTACTTTGATCATGATTGGGTTTAATGAGAACTCATTCATAGATATAGCACAGCCTCCTAATCAATAAGCTATGCAGTTATCTCAGCCCTGTTAATTAACCCTAAGCCGTGACATAGGGCTCCTTATGTGGCCTTGACAATGCACACCAAAAGCATTAACAGGGACACCATCCATGCGCAACATGGCACTGTTGATACTCTTATATTTTGCAGCTGTTGATGGAATCAGCCTCTCTGAGAGCTACCACAGAGTTCGAGAAACCTTACTACCAGCCGGCCTCAGAACCATTAAACTGAGTTTTAGAGCTGTACCCTCATATGGAGATAACAGGAAGAGTTGCATAGCCATTATCAAGGAGGCATAAGCAAAACTCTATCAGTAGAGTCAAGGAGATCCAGCATTCATCATCCTAGGCAGGAAACAATGTAACACAGGTTACATCTACGCCAGCCTAATAGATGAAGAAGGGGTTTGAGGCTGGTTAGCAGAATTTTTCTGCTTACCCCTAAAGTCTTTGCCTAGGAGGCCTTCTACAAGACAGTAGCTGGATGCAGTTAACATCTGCCCAAGATGAGTATTTTTATCGAGACACCATCTCTAGCCTTTACTCAACCAAGAGCCCCAAGGCAGGGGATGTTTAGCTGGATGCAGTTAACATCTGCCCAAGATGAGTGTTTTTATCGAGACACCATCTCTAGCCTTTACTCAACCAAGAGCCCCAAGGCAGGGGAATTTTTAGTCGAAGATTATTTCTCCTAGCCTTTGCCTAAGAAGAGCACACTCTGCAAGGCAGCAGGGCTTGTGGCAGGTGGTACTGGGTTACGTGATACCAGTAGCAGGTTTGATCTCGATTATCCTGACCTGACCTGAGTTGGCCAAATTTTGGGTCTCTTCTGCTGTTATATTATCCCATGCCCTCATTATAGCTTCTTTCAAGTTGTCTTTGTGTCTAAATGCTCGTTTGCCAATTTTCCAAATAATACCACTAATTTCCTATTGGATTCAAGTCCGCACTTTGAATTGGCCATTATACAACATTGATATTAATTTTATCAAAGCATAACTTTTTAGAATAAGGATAATTTTAGTTTAATTTTTTTTTTAATAATTTTTACAAAAGTATTTGTTTTCATGTCTGCATTTAGAAATTAATTCTGATTTTTTGTTTAGTAAATTATTTTTTTGTTTTGTTTAGTAAATTATTTTTTCAGAAATATTATTATAGGCAGGTACAGTTTTTAGAATAGACCAGTTTAATTTAAAGTTAATCTTTTTTTTTAAAATTGCCTAATACATTTGACATCATAGTCTCTTTTGAATATTTTTTATGTTTAAAAAATTGTTTGTAGTTGGTGTAACATTGTTTCCATTGGCTGTTGGTTAATATTGTTTATCAGGGTTATTTTGTGAGGAAACAATGCATTTGTAAATAGTACTACTTGATAAGCATTTGCCATTCATCCATTCGTTCATTGGGCAAATTTTTTGATATTCATATTTGCAGTATTTTTTTCTTTAAGAATTTTTTTTTTATTAATCAATTCAACATAATGGACTTTATAATTCTTCCTATATTTTTGTACAGCTATAATCTATTAATACTATTTGTTTAAAATGTTGTGCAGTTTATTAGTGGTAGGAAAGTTTTTTGTGATGGCCCTTGCATAAAAATCTTTCGTCTTCCTGCTGATAGATAAGCTTCTTTATATGTAACTTCTTGGATTCAGGCTGTCATGGAATCCTTTATTCCCTCTCGACAATTCTAAGTCAAGCTTTACTCTTCTTGGTCTTGGTTTTCTTGGTCTTCAAGTCAAGCCTTACTCTTACTTCTTCTAATTTTCATCTGATTATGCTGCTGCAATTTTCAATTGAAACCATTATTTCCATATCTATCGCCAAAACTATTCTGAAAACAGACATCTGTTTACTATTGCTTGAAACTATTGTAAAAAGGTTTTGTCTAATGCCTAAGACAAAAAAATCAGGCAGGTTCTTATTTTGAGTTATTAAATACTCTATTAGATCAATAGAATGGTTGACTAAAATTCTCTCTTTTGGGCATTGTGAATTTTGACCTGTGACTTTTTTGATTCTGCATTTTTTAAATAAAAGCTTAGTTTTATAAGTTTTAATATTTTAGTTATTATTTAAAAAATATTTTATAAAAGTAGTAAATTAAACAATGGTGTACAAAAAGGTTGTCAGATGTAAAAGACAAAAAATAGAACTCCCAAGAAATTTTTTTTCTACTATAAAGATTTTCCTAAAATCAGTAGAAATATAATAGAAAGGAAATCAATAGAATTTAATTAAAAAAAAAAAAAAAAAAATTAAATATATTAAGTTTTAAGCAGTGTTGTTTTGAACCTTATTATATATGTATTGCTTTATTTTTAATTTACACTTTTAAGATCAACAAGATTTGCAGATGTACCATTATATTATATCAAATATGAGCCTGCTGCAAAGGTGAAATTTAAATCATGGTAAAACCATACAAGGTGTTTGAATCTGTTAATTGTGGTGCATGTGTTAGCATCTTCTGACAGAGATCACTACATAGAAATGGTAAAAGCTCTTTGTTCAACCCTAAGAGAGTTCCGGAAGGATGTAAATATGGATAGAACTAAAGCTGAAATCCTTCTGAAAACAGTTTTTGTTGATAAAGACCAGCCACTGAGTCTTTAGTTGTATATTTCCCCAGACTACAGGTTATATTTTGATATTCCAGGTCATAGTTTGAAAAAATATCTACGGATGAGACTCCCTCTGACTTTTTGGATACATTGAATTTCAAAACTTTTAAAATCTTTAAAAGTTGCAAACAGCTCATCAGAACTCATAGCAAAATTGTAAATCTTTTGACCATAGTTTAAGAAATTTATTTCTCAAAACAAAAAATATATTTCTTGTTTAAAAAAAAGAAAATATGTTTCTTAAAATGAGAAATGAATTATTAATGTATATATATATATATATATATATATATATATATATATATATATATATATATATATATATATATATATATATATATATATATATATATATATATATATATATGTATATATATATATATATATATATATATATATATATATATATATATATATATATATATATATATATATATATATATATATATATATATATATAAGCAGACAATAAGTATTAACAGGATTTGCTTTATAATCAAGAATTCTGTGGTTTGATGCCTGCTCTAGTTTTTTTTTTTTTTAAAGGAAGCAAGTGTAAACTTTCTAGTTGAATTATTTGCATCAGTGCTTTGTGATGGTCTTCGATGTATATTGTAGTTGCTCCAAGAAAGACCTGTTATAGGTCTTCTTGAAGCACCTACAACAACCTCACAAAAAGAGTGTACATATATAAATTTTTGAAATATATTGATACATTTTGGTCTAGTTTAGTTTACAACAAAAGATCAAAATCCTTTACCTATTCTGTTGAGTTAACCATTTTGGATTTGTTTGATCTAAGGCTCCAAGAACTGTGTTTAAAAAAAAAAACATTATTTGATAAAAAAATGATGTGAAAATAATAAAGTTTGTTGCATGATTGGAAAGGACCTCAAAGATCAACTAAAAATCACTTTACAATAGCCTAAGTGTTAATTTATGGTATCTATGTTAACCAGTAAAAGATAAGTACTGTATCTTTCTTAAATTGAAAAGCACAGAGTTGTTTTTTGAACAAAAATATTAAAAAAAAATATTGTTGAAAAAATTAACCAGATGCTTACCAGAATCTATTCGGGCCTATGCACCTTATTTTGACTAAATTTAGAAAGTTGTTTTAAGTTTAGTAAAAAATACTTCTAACAAGAAAAAATTAAAAATGATAAGTTTTTTCATTTAAATATGACCTCTACGCTACTCATTAGCCACTCCGCATAAAAATAAGTTGTCGAAAAAAAATTATGGCATTGGCTAATATACATATAAATAATATTAATAAATAATATTTATGATAAGTTATGAAATTATTAAATATTGATTATTTATTAGTTTTTTTATTTTTGTGTCTGTTTTTCTGCATGTGATATGCTCTTTTGTTTATAATAAAATTATGTGATATTTTTAAATTTTTTTACAGAACATTAGTGAAAAAACTTGAAAACATGCGTACAAATGTGCTAGGAGATGGAATTCAAACATGTCTAATATGTGGTACAAAAGCAGGACTATTAAAAGATTCACTAAACTACTGTCTGCACTGTGGCCACGTTAGTTAAAGTTTTAACTTTAATCTCCAGTTTTGTACTGTTCCTTTTCTCATATAATAAATGTATTGCAATATTGATACTATGTATAGTTGTAACCTGTATGCGATTGTTATGAAAACTCTATGAATATATCATTTTATAAGATCTTTTTGAATATATTGTTATAAAAACTCATAACGCTAATAGAACTCTAGGAATATATACTGCTATGAGAACTCTACCAATAAATACTGCTATGAGAACTCTATGCTTTAATAAATCTAAGAATATATACTGTTGTAAGAACTCTAAAAATGGATACTGCTATAAAAACTGTAAGAATTCGGGGTAATTTCATGTAAAAGTAGTACACAAATTTTCCCTCTTAAAATTTTTTTAAATTTTCACCAAAAAATGTTAAATCAAAATGGTTCAAAGGTTAAGACATCAGAAAACTTTTATTAAAACTTTAGATGATTTTTGATTATAAAACATTTAAAACAAATTTTCTTTACCCTAGATTACGCTTTTACTGATTTTTAGTGTTGCCTCTCATTACTATTTTTTTTTCCACTTACAACAATGTTTAAAAGTCTAAATTTTGTTTTTAATGTTGCAAATTTTGTTTTTAATGTTGCAAATTTTGTTTTTAATGTTGCAAATTTGTTTTTAATGATGCAAATTTTGTTTTTAATGTTGCAAATTTTGTTTTTAATGTTGCAAATTTTGTTTTTAATGTTGCAAATTTGTTTTTAATTATGCAAATTTTGTTTTTAATGTTGCAAATTTTGTTTTTAATGTTGCAAATTTTGTTTTTGTTGCAAATTTAAAAAAAAGTAAAATGTTTAAGGTTTAAAGATTTTTAATGTTGCATGTTTAAAAATAGATTTAATTTTTGTTAAAGTATTACTAATTAGTTTAAATATATTTTTGTGAAATTGGTAGGAATGTATAAATAAAGTTTTGTGATGTCAATGATGTTAAAATCGAAAACATTGTTTATTTTAGATTAAATAGTTATTGTTTCTTATTTGGAAACTCAAACAACATTTATTTTTCATGCCACATGTACCTTAGGATTTGTTAGTAAATAATAAAGAAATCATTTTTATATTACAAGAAATCAATTTTTTATTATTCTTGGTGAAATCAACTTTCTCCTTGAATGTGTGAAAAGAAAATCTAAAGTTTGTAATGAAAAGCACCAAAATTTGAATCCAAAATCTTGATCTATCAGAAAAGCGTTAAAAAAGATTTCTGTGTCTGATTGCAAAATTCAAAAAGCAAAGTTATTATGCAACAAAAAGGTATCATATTACAACCTGATATAGCTTCAAAAAAAAGGCATCATAGCCTGAATAGCATCAAATCAGCAAAGATATTCTTTTTTTGTGTATTTATGACAAATACCTGATAGAAATGATTATGTTAGCATTAGAAAAATAAACATATGCCAAAAATTTGTTTTCTGTAACCTTAAAGAGCTCTATGTAGCATATAAATTAATCAGATTACAAAATTGGATTCTACAAATTTTGCAGTCTTTAGTCTAAATAGTGCATTCTTGTTGTTCCAAAAGGTACATATTCTGTTTGTGTGTTTATAGTACACCAAAATGTGCAAATGATTTTGAGTGCTATTGGCCTTGAAATGTTTTATTATTGAGTTATTGAAATAAGTGCCTGCAGCAGAGAACCAAAAGTTTGGACAATTAACTTTATTGAATGCATTAGTCATCCTAACACATAAGCTTTTTACAACAAAGTATTTTACCACAGTATGTGATACAAAAAGATGATCCAGAGATGCAGTATGAAAGTAACTACAGTGATAAGATTAAACACTCAATGGATATTAACAACAACAGATAGAGCTTAACTTCAGCTTCCATTAAATTAATTCATAGAATTTTGAAGAGAATTACACTTTAGTAGTACAGAATGAGATACAGAGTTGGCACAAGAAGAAGTGTTCCCTCAATTTAAACATTGTTGGCACAAAAAAAGTGTTCCCTTTAATTAATTGTCATCTATTACTTGAAAGAGAAATTAGAGGCGTCTTCTTTTTGCATAAACTAAGATATTTTGAACCATGTTGGATTTATCAACGAAACTATGCGTAAAACCATTGTCATGTAATCATTATCTCACCATTGCAGAAATTCATTTTTTTTCTGATGGTTGTGCTGGGCAGTATAAAACTGCAAATATTGTTCAAACTATGCCACCTTGCTGAAGATTTTTTTGTTTATTGCATTTGTAACTTTTCTTTGAACAACATTTGAGATTTTTTTGAACAGCATACTATGCGTATTTTAAGAGACTATCTGTGCTTTAAGTGATTATACTATGCATGCTTTAAGAGATCGTTTGTATTAAAATTGTATAAAATCTCTTATTTTAAAAAATGACTGAAAGTGTAAATCAAGTATAAAACTTTTCGAATAAAAATAAAGAACATGATTATCCAAAGTTTTAAGTCCTATTTTCTCTACATCTTTGAATTCATCACCATTAAAAATTGTCAGGTACAAGTTTTCAGTCATTTTCTTCCACTAGAACTTAAATTGTTTATGACAATGTACAATTGCAGTATCTTTATAGAAAATAGAAAATGTGAAGCAAAATATTCTTTTGTCTAAATTTAAAAATGAGAAAGTTTTCTATTAGAAATTAATTCATAAATAAACTAAAAGATCAAAATATCAATGAGATCAAAAGATCAAAAGATCAATGCTGCACATAGACACTAAACTTGTAAAGTTTACTGTCTATGAAGCAAATTTGTGAAAACAAGAATATCTCTGCAACAGAAGAATCAACTGGCATTAAGAGTATCCACTCCAGAGGCTCTGGATTCTGAAGAAATTTTGTGTTCACATAATTAAAAGCTCAATATGAGAAGTTCAAGAGAGGATTTTAACATTCTTCAATACTATTGAATTTTTATAAAACTTTTTTATTGAAATATTGAATTAATCAAAATATTTAGCTGCAAAAGTAAAGCTATGTAAATAAGCAAAATGTAAGAAAAAAGTATATAGAAAATAAATAAATAAATAAACTAGCAAACATGTAAACATTTATTTAGACAATGTTTATAAATTGATTCAGTTATTGTTTGTTTTATAAATTTATTTAGGTATCAGTAATGGAAATACAGTTACAGTTAAATGCAAAAAGGCAATAAAATATTACTTTAAAAAACATTTTTTTTAACTATTTTTATATTCATTCTTAAAAATTTATTTGTTTGGTTTTTATATAATGATTGATTTTATTTCTTGACAATTGCAGTGTTAATTAATGTATGTATCTCAAAATTCATGCACACCTAAAACAAGCTTCCCTATTTAAAAAATGTTTTTCTCATATTTAACCATAAAATGCTTAGCTTAAACCTTATTGATTTTAAATTTTAGCTTGACTTTTATTATATACTGTTCAATAAGCAAATTTTACTATTTCACTTGGATTGTTCAAACCTTTAAGGTTTTTTTTACTAGAAATAAAATTCCTTATCAATATTAAAAATATGTACAAAGCATTAAAATTGTTTACAATGTTAATAACTTAAGTGTTAATAACACATTTTAATATAATTTTAATAATAAGCGTATATCAATCATTTTGTAAAAAAAAAAAAAAAAAAAAAACTAAATTATACATAAAATTCCTGGGGAAGAATTAACTATGGCTTGGTTCTTATTTTTGCAATATTTAAAGTTTGTAGTTGACTGGATGACTTTTAAAAACTAAAACTAATTGTTATTTGCAAAGCTATCAACAATTATTCAAGAAACAAAACAAAATCTTTTTTATTCATTTAGTTATAGACAAAACAAGGTTGTATCAAAGGTTGAGAAAATAAACAAAAATTTTTACATTTAAAAAAACTGGTATCTAAGTAAATACTCGATTATTACATAATAGCATTTCTACATTGTTAAGTTAATTATTCAATTAAACTATTGCTGTAATTTAGTAAATTTTATGTCTAAAACTATTTCTCATAAGGCCTGATTTTACATTTCACATTTAGGTTTTGTTTGGGGGTATGAAGGATCCACAAAAATCTTTTTTTGTTGAATTTAAAGAGATCTAGCAAAACTCACTTTATGTTGAATGTAAAGAAATCTAGCAAAAATCACTTTTTGTTGAATGAGATCTAGCAAAAATCACTTTATGTTGAATAAGATCTAGCAGAAATCACTTTATGTTGAATGAGATCTAGCACAAATCACTTTATCTTGAATGAGATCTACCAGAAATCACTTTATTTTGAATGAGATCTGGATATGAGGTCTAGAGATCTGGAGAGGTCTGGATATTAGCTAGGGATTTTTAATGAGATAAAAAAGCTTTAGAGTAATTTTTGCAAAAAATGATTACTTCAACTTAGTCAAGTATATTCTTATTTGGATGTGTTATTGAAAACTTTAGATTTCCCACTGCCTGGTGCAATACATGAGGTAAGGTTCATGGCTGATGGATATTTGATACAGATGATGATATTTTTTAATAATACAGACAACTAAAGTAACACGTTAGAGTCTAACAGAAGAGGAGTCAAAAAAGTTTAATAATGCTAGCTTCTTTATGCTATGTATTCTAAGAATAGAATATCAGCCCCTGCTCTGAGATATAACTGAGGTTCTTCAAACTGTAGTGTTGCCTTGGACCCAACAAACCTATCCAAACCAAAATTGGATCTTTCAACAAAATTCTGTGCCAGCACATCAAGCAAAAACGACACATGAATTTGTAAAAACAATTTTTTGGCATTTTGGGGATTTTAGAGGTAAAGGTTTGTTCTAAACCACATAAGTTGGTAGAGTTGTTGAAGCGCAATTCGGTGAAAGCGTGGAGCAAAATCAACGAAAAAATGGTGCGCGCCGCAATTAATCAGTTCCCGCGGCGTCTTAGAGCTTGTATTAGAACTCGGAGGAATTTTTAGAAATGAACTTTTTTAATTAAAATTTTATATATTTTTTGATGTTCTTAGGTTATTATATTTTTTTAGACTAATAAAATTGTAATACAATCCTTTATTATAAAGTTTCCGAACTTTTCCTGCACCCTATATAAAGTATTAAAAAGCTTAAATCATTGCACCTGGTATTTATATGAACAACTAGTTATTCTTGCATTAGCAGACAAGTACTTGCATGACAACACAAAGGTAGAAATGATAAAGAATATGCTCATCAATGTTAAGTCAAAGATATTCAAATGTAGTCCATCCACAAAATCTTTTGATTCAGACAATAACCTCTCTTCCTAACTTTGTTGGTTAGTATAGCTAGATCTCTTCCAGTGGAAAGTTATACAAAGCTGTAAACCTATCAAAACAACATCCAAAATTTGTAACCTCTGCCTTCGTGAGAAATTTACTATTTTATATCACAAAGAAAATAACCTGCTTAATAAAATAGATGAAATAATGTTTAACTCTATTTTGTAGAATACAAAAATACATTTCTAAAAATGTTTAAACAATTTTAGAAATGTATTCTTGTATTCTACAAAATAGAGTGTATTCTACAAAATAGAGTAAATATAAAGACTCATCAGAAATGAATGATCAAATTAATAAAACTTCAATTTATACCAAAAAATTAAATTACAGGAAGTCGCTAATGTTTTAACTACTGTAAATTTTCACACATTTGTGGAATTTGCTGACACTATTATAAAAAGAATTCTTTAGAAATGATTAAAAGTGGGGATTTAGTGTAACTATTATTTATTTTTATAGTTTTTTAGGAGAAACTTATTTTTATGCCTGCTCCTAGAAATCATTCTTAGTTTGCATGTGTAATTATTTTAAGTTTTTCTTGTAAACATAGCATGCATTTTTTGGAAATATTGTTGTATGCAGGCGCTGTTTTGAGTATGGACTAATTTAGTATAAAATCATCAATATTTTTATCCTTTAGTTCCCATATATATTTTGACAGCATGGTGTCTTTTGAATATTTTTTATTTTCAAAAGATTGCTAATTTTTGGCAAAACGTTTTTTCCATTCACTCTCTGTTATGCCAATATATTGTTTATTGGGTCCATTCTGAGGGGAAACAACACATTTATATACCACATTTTTTGATAAACAACTTCCACAATTGTCTTTTTGTTTACAATTACAATTTTCTGTAGTTTTTTCATTTAGAATTTCTTTTTTACTTAACAAAGTATTAATGTGACCTTTTATAATTCTTTCCATATTTTTTGTGTAACTGTAGCTAACTTTAATTGTATTTCGATTAAAAATTTTATGTAATTTATTGGAGAGATGCTTATTGACCAATTTTAAAAACACTTTTCCTATGTTAGTGGAACAAACTTGGTCGATAAACATTTCCAATTAATCGATAAGCATTTTCCTCCCTCCAATAAACTACATAAAATTTTTAATTGAAATCTTTTTTCAATAAGTTTATTTTAAACAGTCTTTTAAAACAGATTATGCGGAAAACATTAAACTTTAATTAATTGTTGTAAAAAAAATTTATGGAATTTTTTTTTTTTTATTAGATAAAAAAATAGATAGATATCCTTTCTTCTATTTTCCGTTTAAAAAAAAAAAAATTTTAAATTTATTTTATTAACTTTGAACTGATTTTATTATTATTCATAATTTTAGTAATTTATTTGATTAAATTTAATTATTCAAATAAATTACTAAAACTAAGAATTTTGAACATTCTTTTAAGACAAGTTTCCACTCATCCGTTTTCACGGTAACGGGATGGGGACGGAAAAAATAATTACATGGGCATGCGTAGTATAAGTATTAATATGTCCAAACGAAAACTATGCATGCTCACATGATTATTTTTCCTTCCACTATCCCGTTCCCGTGAAAAAACGGGTGAGTGGAAACTCACCTTTAAAACAGATTATGTGGAAAACATTATAAACTGTAATTAATTGTTGTAAAAAAACATTTGTGGAGTTTTTTTTTTATTAGATAAAAAAACAGATAGATATCCTTTTTTCTATTTTCCGTTTTTAAAAAAAGTATATTTAAACTTTATTTTATTAAATTTGAATAAATTTTACTATTATTCATAGTTTTAGTAATTTATTTGATTAAATTTAATTAATATTAAAAAAAAAAAAAATTAATTAATTTAATCCAAGTAACTTTAAAATGTTCGCATTACATATAACTTTATTTTAATTTCAGTTAAGTTTTTGGTAAGTTCCAGTTCCAAATATTGGTTTAAATAATGCGCTTTTGTAGGTAATAAATGACGTCATACAAAAAAGTTCTTTCAAACTCGAGTTTAATGTTGTTCGAGTTTTCCCTTTGCCGTTAAGTTTTATGCTGTAAAATTTTTTTTATAAAACGAACCATTTTTTAAACCAATTAAAAATAACGCGTTCAATAAGTTAACTCTTCAAAAGCCCAACTTATATTTATTTAGTTTTAAAAATAAAACTAATACAAGTGCTATAGATATAAGATACGTAAATTTTAAAATTATACTGATATTTGTTAAAAACAAGCTCTGCTAATAACATCTTAAAACAGAAAATACTATTTTAGCTTTTTGTATTAAGTAAGATATAGTAAAAATTCTTTAGGTTTCAGGGTACATAAAAATAAAATATTTTAATGGAAATAAAAAAAAAAACAAAGCCAAGAAGTGTAATCTTCGTTTAACTACAGTTTTTAATTTATTCAAAACCTTTTTCTAAAAAATAATTAAATTTTAATTAACTGTTAAATTTTATAACTTGGAGTTGTAAAATTTAACAATTAATTTAATCAGTGTAGAGTTCAAACTGTAGTACACAGACACATGTGGAGTTCTGACTGCAGTAGACAATGTAAAAAAATGCTGCTTTTTTATGCAGAGAATTATTGCCCAGATGAATAGCCAAAAAAAAATGGAATGATACCAAAACTGAAATTAAAATTTTATTACCACTTTTGAACTATTAAAGGCATTTTAAAAATAAATTTTTACTTTTTAATCTGTTTATGTTACTTTTTAACTGTTTTATTTCAGGTCTTTTTTTTCTGCTGGTTTATTTTAGCTTTTTATTTTCAGTTGGTTTGCCAAAAATGTGGCGTGGATTCAAAGATAACTACAGAAACATCAAAAAAATTATTTTATTGTGTTATATGCAATGAAGAGAGGCAGGTAATGTTTTATTGTGTTATATGCAATGAAGAGAGGGAGGTAATGTTTTATATTTAGTGTATTGTAGTAAACATTAGCCTAATTTTTTTTAGTTTTCAATTTATTATTTATTGAATAAAAAACCTCAATTACGTTGGGTTTTTTATATAATAATTCAACCTAACTCTACCCCTAATTCTGACCGATCCTTAATTCTTACAAAAGTTTTGATAATTTAAAATTATTATTACATATGTAATATAAAATATAAAATTATTATTACATATATAATGTACGTAATTTCTTATATTATTATTACTTTGTAATAAATTTAAATCTTATTAAAATTTTTTAGCCAAAATTTTTTAAATCTAATTTTTTTTTTCAAATTATAAAAATTTATTTTTCAATTAGTTGTGGAAATCATCTGGTGCGTGGTTTTATAATTCTATACCAAAGTATGTTATTTCTGACGTTGGGTCTGAGCTGGTAAGTAAAAAGTTTAAGTGTTGAATGTTGGTATCTTTTTCTAACAAAATTTTTTTTAATCTAAAAATTTAATATTTTATAATTTATTCTAAGTAATAGAATTCTTTATACAAGTTAACTTATTATACACACATGAATTAAAGCTTATTTTACCATGGCTTTCGCACTCAATTATGTAATAAATGCATAAATAAAGATGGGGTGAGGCCTCTGTGCCTGTTAAAAACAACTTATTTAGGAGAAGAAAAACTCTGATGTAAAACCCCCAATTTTATTGTGGGGTAGGATAGGACGAGTTTGCAAGTTATAAATGTTAATTGGCATTTTGGAAACTATCCAAACCATGTGGTACCATTAAACTTTAAAAAAGTGTGTTTGCAGCAGAAGCAATTTTATGATCATAACAATGTTTTTTAATGTTCTATTAAAGTCAATTTATTCAGTAGAAATATGTAAATCCATAAAGCAAATAAAATTATTTCATTTAACTAGTTTAGACCTGAAACACATTCTTTATAATTCCACCTAAAATGTTATATTCTTTATAATTACACTTGAAATATTTTGTTCTTGAAAATCATGACTGCTGGTTTTTCATTATGAGTTTTTATAAATTTTGTAATATAAAGGACTTTATATAATATCTTTCAATTTGACAACATAAATTATTTTCTTTCTTAACATTATTAAATTTTAGTTTAATAGTTTTTAAATGTAATAAGACTTTATAAAATGTTCTTAAATTGTAATAAAACAAAGTGTCAATGTTTAGTATTGAAGTTTTCAAATTTTTTTTTTATATTCAATGGTTATTTATTTATATTCTAAGTTTTTCTCACTTTATCTTGTTCATTATTTTTATACCTCTAGTTTTATTTCATCCTTTTTTAATTACTTATCTGCTTATTAATTCAATTTATTGTCATAGCAACAAATCTTGACAAACCCCTCTAATGATCTTTTTTCACATTTGATTTTTTTTTATCTTTTTCTTTTTGGTGCAAAAGCATGTCTATATTGATGGACCTTCTTCAATAGTCAATTTTTCACTATATATGTGAATATTGATGGACCTTCTTCCATAGTCAACTTTTCACTATATATGTGAATATTGATGGACCTTCTTCAATAGTCAATTTTTCACAATATATGTGAATATTGATGGGCCTTCTTCAATAGTCAACTTTTCACTACATATGTGATTATTGATGGACCTTCTTCCATAGTCAACTTTTCACTATATATGTGAATATTGATGGACCTTCTTCAATAGTCAACTTTTTACTATATATGTGAATATTGATGGACCTGCTTTAATAGTCAACCTTTCACTATATATGTGAAACTTTTTCGAATCTGAATTTAACTGAAAGACAAATTTAGTTCAAATGATTGTGGTACGAATGGGTACACATTTAACTAAAAAAGAAATTTAGTTTTTTATACCAAATTTAACTGATATCGCTGACATACACATTTTTTCTTTCCCATACAACAATAAGTGTATTTATATAAGTTTTTTTACGCTGATTTCACATCTGAAAACCATTTTGCACTATCACATTACATTCCAAAAAAAATGGCTCAAACATTTTTTAAAAACAAGCCTTTATCTGTAGTATGTTCAATGCCATAATTTTATTGATTTTTGTTTTCATACTTTGTTTTCATAATAAATATTATTGACATGGCTACTGAAAAATGTTTGAATTTTTCTGATTTGTTTTGCTACGTTTGTGGACTTTTTACCGATCTTAACCACTGGAAATTGATGACCCCTTTATTAAAAAAAGGTTATGAACTTTATTTCCACCCCAATGTTTATAATCCGGAGAAACAGTGGAAACTTAATATTATTTGCTCCATTTGTGCGAATACTTTAGCAGGATGGTTGAAAAATTCACCAAAACACAAGTCAATGGCCTTTTCACAAATCATACCACTGATTCTTACTTTCGCATGATAGTAATACAAGGATTTTCATTTAAAACTCGTAAGTCAGTATTATATCCGAACATTAAATCTGGACACAGATTTATTGTTGTGCTTCACAAGCCAGTGCTTCACAACCCCGTCAAAAAATGTTTACATGAACCAATGGTTTTAAAAAAAGTCATCATATTACTACTTTTACACATAAAGTTGGGTCTTATCTTTGTTCCATGTTTCCATGAAGTGATGCTAAAATAAAGGAAGGAATTTTTGTGGATCCTCAGATCAGAAAAGAAGGTGAATAACATTTTCAAGATCTACTAAGTGGAAAATTTTTTTGGCATGGTTAGCTTTTAAATCCAGTGTTGCCAACTTTTTGGGAAATAATAAATTTAGCAATTGCATATATTAAACAGTGCATAAATGCCTTCCAGAACATGGGATGTAAAATATCTTTTAAAATGAATCTTCTAAATTCCCATCTTGAACTTTTTCCAGAATATCTTGGCAAGGTCAATGTTGTGCATAGAGAGCTTTGATGGAATCACGATGCCAAGGACAATGGGGTAGTGCCATGCTAGCAGACTACTGTTGGTTGCTCCAGCAGGATGCCCCAGAAGTAAAATAACATCGGAAGTCAATATGCAAGAAATTTAAACCTTCTCAATCAATATGCAAGAAATTTAAACCTTCTCAATAAACTTGATATTTGTTTTGATGCAAATTGTTTATGAGCAATGACAAAACTTTCTATTTATTTTTTTTGGTTTAATAAAATGATATATTAAAATTATATAAAAATTAAATAATAAATATTTAAACAAAGTCTTGGTAGAATTTTTTTAAGTATTCTCTTTGATAATAATATGAAATATCAATATATTAATTTATTAAAGTGTTCAATATTTCAATTCAAGTTTTCTTAAAATTTTGATGTAATACAAACAAATAGATCACTAGATATTTGATTTTTGCATGTTAAAATTAACAAGAAAAATATCCATTCACTAAAGAAAGTAAAAAAAAAAGTTTTTTATGTCAATATTTTTAAATTTAGACTTTTAAACCAAATTTAATTGTAAGCCCAAATTCAGACTTTAAAACTGCATTTAACTGAAAGCCAAATTTTGACTTTTTAATTTAACTGGCTCATCACACATTAGCCAAATTACCATGCATTAAATAATTTTTACAGAATGCAAAGTACATTGGTTTTTAACGCATTGCAGAATATAATACGAGTTAAAGCATTAAACTATAACTTATTGTAATTTTTTTTTTACTATAAGTTCTGGGTAATATACACAAGTTGCTCTACATTTATGCTGTTAAGATTGGTGTGGTCCAACTTGGACAATCATAATGACAATTTGGCTAACTTCAGAAAAGACTCTTTCAGAAGAAGCTGATAAACCTGGAGTGGGATGCATTTTTGAAAATTTCTTAAAAAAAAAAGTTATACAAAAATTAAAGTTTAAATTAAATTTTAGTTTTTGTTGTTGTTTGGTTATAAAATGTGATATGCGAACTTAAATAAAAGCATTTGGACATGAATAAAGTTAAAATAAAGCTTTGGTCCTGAAAAATTTGTAATGAAATAATCCTTTCTTTCAGCAAAATTTTGCAATCTAAATTTAAAAAAATATTTGCTGGTCCTTATTTGTAAATATTTCTTTCTCTGTTCTTCAGCTACACCCAAAAAAGCTTAAAAAGTAAAACTAAGAGTATTACCCTGCTTTTTGTTTGCCTCATTATTACGTAAAGTCTTTTACAGTTGAGTACTCTTGGTTGTTATTAAATTATTACGTAAAACTTTTTACAATCAAGTACTCTTGGTTGTTATTAATTTATTACATAAAACCTTTTAGAATTAAGTACTCTTGGTTGTTGATTTTTTAATCTTAAACTCTTTTGTTTTAAACAAAGTTATTAACTTTTTTACAAGTTATATAAACAAAATTATATTGCTTTAAACTTAATATGATTGCTATTGTTACTAACTATTTTCTGTTATTATGAGCTAAATATTTTTGTTATAAGCAAGAAATTCATTTTCAATTAATAATTTCTTTTTAGAACTCTAATATGAGGGTTTTAGGTAGAAATAACTCTTTCAACACTCCTCGACCTGTGTGGATTGAAAATCGCTCAAGTAAGCTACATATTGTTATTTTTTGTTTAAATTCTATGATTTACTATATTTTTTTAAGAGAAATTTTAATGAGTTTTTTTTTGCCAATATATAAATGTGTTTTTGTTTTTTTTTGTATTATTGATTACCCAAGATTCAGTTGGCCACTAATATTGAAGAGGATATTTAATTTTAGTTTTGTTCACAGACATTGTTTGTGAAGCTGTTGTATAAGAAATAAGTTTCTAAAATAACTTAAGTGTACTTAATACAAAGGATATCATGAGGTTTGAACTCCATACCACAACAACTTATTAAAGTCTATTTTAAGAAAATAAAATGGGAATCAATACTATTAAGCAAAAAAATTAAACAAAAAAAAATTTTTAAAGAGGGGAGTTTGAGTTTTAAAGAGAGGAAATATTTTATTCTAATTCATTCCCAACTAGGCTGTAAGCAACAACTAATACATGGGAGTTATAAGGAAAAAAAAGAATTGAGTTATAGAGCAAAAGTCAACAGAAGACTTAAAAAGTTGTAGGTTCTATGAGTCAGGAAAACAAGATAGGAGAGAGTTCCAAAGGGTTGAAGTGTGGGGGAAAAAACTAGACAAATAAAAGTTTTTAGAAAATGCAGGGATAGATGCAATAATTGAATAAGAATTAGCTGAATGAGGAGTCAAACAAGAATAAGTTTTAATTAGATGGAACTAGAGATGCAACCCTTGGAATTAGGAAAAAAGCAACTTTATGACAATGGGAAAGAGGCTTAAGCTAATCAGATGAAGCGGGTCCAACTACGTTTACAATGTGTTTTAGGACTTTTTCTGGAAGAGAAAGTGCATCATTAGAAAAACCAGCCCAAATATGACAATAGTATCCCATGCAGGGACAAAAAAGAGGTTTGTAGAGGTAGAGAATGGAATCAGGAGTAAGCAATAAAGAAAAGCAGCCTTAGCAGGTGCTAATTTAGCAGTTTCCTGTTTTGATTAAAAAGAAGATTTTTAATCAAAACAGGAGTATAAAGTTGAGTCATCAGCAAAAAGAGCTACCTTAGATGTAAGGTTGTCAGGAAGATCATTAATGCAGATAAGAAACAAAACAGGACCAAGGATAAAACCTTAAGGTACCCCAGGAGTTACAAAGAATAAAGAAGAGTGTTCGCCACAAGGATGACTTAAATAAAGTGGTTAAAAAAAAAAAGATTTGATAATATATATATATATATATATATATATATATATATATATATATATATATATATATATATATATATATATATATATATATATATATATATATATATATATATATATATATATATATATATATATATATATATATATATATATATATATATATATGTATATATATATATATGTATATATATGTTTATATCAGGTTGTCTTAAACCCTACTTTAGATAAAAAATCAGAACTCTGTTTTTTTCATATACTGTGGTTATCTTTTGTGATTAATTTAGGTCTAATTTAAGCCAGATACACCATATGAAGTAAGCTTATGGAGAAGACCAGCATGCCAAACTATGTCAAAAGCTTTAGATATGTTGAGAGCAACAGCCCTAGCCTTATCTCCTCCATCTAATGCACAATAAAATCTTTTAGCCACTGCAATAAACAAGTCAGCTGTAGAGCAAGAAGCATAAAAACCATATATATATATTAAAAAAAAAAAAAAAAAAATTGTTTTCTGACTGTAAGTTATGTCTCATAATGGAATGTGAGAAATTTGTTGATCAAAAACTCAAAGACCATGCTAATAACAGAAAACAAAGACCATGCTAATAACAGAAAACATGCTAATAACTGATCAGGTGATAATTGGAGGGGTCAGCTCCAATTTTTGTAAAATTAGAGCAACAGATGCTATTTTGAATGTTTGACTATTTTGAGTAATTTGAATGTCTAACAATGGGTTAACCTGTTTATTTGGAATGAAAGGTAGAGAATGGAAGAGAATGAAAGGTAGAGAATGAAAGAGAATGAAAGAGAATGAAAGGTAGAGAATGAAAGAGAATGAAAGAGAATGAATGGTAGAGAATGAAAGAGAATGAAAGAGAATGAAAGGTAGAGAATGAAAGAGAATGAAAGAGAATGAAAGGTAGAGAATGAAAGGGAATAGTTGTAAGATTCAAGAGTTAAATGAAAAAGTTGTTTACAAATAGTTCTGCTTTATCCTTTGGAGAGACAGTAAGATCAGTCCAATGAATGAGAAATGGAAAATTGGACCTACCCTTGTTAATGTCCCTGTTGAAGATTTTCTAATCTAAAATCTATGGCCTAACTTCTGAGATAAAATAGGAGATTTAGTGAACTGAGATTAATAAAACTTATCATCGGACAGCACCTTATTACATTGATATCTTGCAATAATAAATAGTTGTTTGTTCTTAAGACAGTTGTTATTTTGAAAAAAATAAAAAAAAAAAAGATTAAGATTAGATATAGCAGCTGCACAAGAAGGTGAAAACCATGGAGTTGAATGAGACTTGACTTGGATCCAACAAGAAGAAATAAAGGCTTTAATTTCTGCCTGAATCCAGGAGGTTATGGAAATGAAGTTTTAGGAAATGCATATATTAGTTGAGAGAGAAAAGACATCAGCCCAAAAACCGTCACAAAGAAAATGACAAAAAGAATCCCATTGAGGTTTAGGTTAGTAATTAGTGCTATTAAAGGGTAAGTCTGAAAAGGAAGTAAGAGATGAAAGATTTAAAGAGATCATTGCATGGTCAGAACCACCTAAAGGAGAAAAAAGTGAAACTGAACACAAGCTGGGATCAGAGAGCAGACATAGATCAAAGAGTGAAGGTAAATAATTTCACAAAGAGTGAAGGTAAATCAGGAAAACAAGTCACAAAGTTAACTACCTGAGTAAGAGATTAAGAATTGCAGAAGTTATATGCTTTAGTGCTAGCAAGGTCAGTGGTGTTAGAGCCAAGCCATTCATTATAATGAGCATTAAAGTCACCAATAACAACAGTATTGGCAAAAAGGTAAAGAGAGAGGGATCAATTTGGTCAGAAAAAGTGCAGTCTTGAGAATGAGAAGGAAACAAAGAGAAAGGTGATAAAAAAGGTTCTAAGCAGAAGTACTTAAAAGAATGGGTGAATTGATGGGTAGGTATACCCCCAAGCAAGCAAGTCTGGTAAATTTTTTGAAGAAATGAGAAATATCTAATGGAAAGTGAAATGGGAATATCTGATGGAAAGTGAAATATCTGATGGAGAATTGCTTTGCAGACCATGTATATTGTAAAAGATATATTAAAGCAGTTAGGTGGTGGGATGGTTTTTTATGTTTAAAATTTTGGGTTACTTTTGACGTGATTTAAGTTTAATGAGAACTTGACTCATACTATGCAGTTTTCTAAGTCTTGTTAGTTAACCCTGTCGTAGCATAAGCCTCCATATGTGGCTTCGGCAATATGCAACAAAAGCATTATCAGGGACACCATCCGTGCCTAACATGGCACTGTTATTAATCTGATATTTTGCAGCTGTTGATAAAATCAACCTCTTTTTCACCACCTCATTTTGAGGTGAAAATTTCACATAGCTTTTGAAATTTTGCCCTCCTCATTTTGAGGTGAAAAATTTCAGATTTCGAAACCTAAAAGATTATTAAATAAAATTTTAAACTTATTAAAGAATTTAAATTTAGTATAAGATAGATTAATTTACTATATAGATAAATTTAAATATATTATTAATATATTACCATCACATTTAGGGTTGTGACTGCAAACCTTTTGGGGTTTTTTGTTTCCAGGCTCTAATCATTGTTTGTAAAAGATTCTTACTTGACATAAACTTAAATTTAGAATTTTGGCAATGTTTGAATGTTTCATATGGGAAACATCAAAAAATCCAGCACCCCCTTCTAGTCTATCATCAGTGATACTGGCATTTAAATTAATAGCATTAAAATAAGAATTTGTAACAATAATCTATAATTTCTTTTTTAATTCAAAGCTGTTCTATTAAATTCTATTTAATAAAGTTTATTATTGTTATTTTTTTTTGCTTTTTACATTAGTTTTTTGATTTAATGTAAGATGCATTTAAAATAGAATTAGTAATTTTTAGTAAATTATAGGCATATTATTATTATTATTATTATTATTATTATTATTATTATTATTATTATTATTATTATTATTAGATAAATATTAATTGCATCCAGCGGAATTATCAACCCCCGGAATTAGGAAAAATGTAACTTTACGACAATGGGAAAGAGGCTTAAGATAATCAGATAAAGCGGGTCCAACTACGTTTACAATGTGTTTTAGGACTTTTTCTAGAAGAGAAAGTGCATCATTAAAAAAAGCAGCTCAAATATGACAATAGTATTCCATGCAGAGACAAAAAAGAGGTTTGTAGAGGTAGAGAATGGACAGAGACAAAAAAGAGGTTTGTAGAGGTAGAGAATGGACAGAGACAAAAAAGAGGTTTGTAGAGGTAGAGAATGGACAGAGACAAAAAAGAGGTTTGTAGAGAATGGAATCAGGAGTAAGAAAATAGCAAGCGCAATAAAGAGGTGCAACCTTAGCAGATGCTAATTTAACAGTTTCCTTGAAAAATAATGATAATAATCCAGGAAGATGTAAAAAATCAGTGATACTGGCATTTAAGTTAATAGCAATAAAATAAGAATTTGTAACAATAATCTATAATTTCTTTTTTAATTCAAAGCTATTGAATTCTATTTAATAAAGTTTATTATTGTTATTTTTTGTTGTTGCATTTTTCATTAGTTTTTTGATTTAATGTAAGATGCATTTAAAATTGAATTTGTAATTTTTAGTAAACTATAGGCATATTATTATTATTATTAGATAAATATTAATTGCATCCAGCGAAATTATCATTATACATAAACTAAACTCCATACAATGATACTTTGCGTGTTTAAAATGCACTAAAAAAACCTAACTAATTTAAAGAAAAAAACAAATCATAAACTGAAAAGAGAAATAAACTTAATGAAAAACCAAACTAATTTAAAAACTGATAAACTGAAAATAAAACTAATTTAAAAACTGATAAACTGAAAATAAAACTAATTTAAAAACTGATAAACTGAAAATAAAACTAATTTAAAAACTGATAAACTGAAAATAAAACTAATTTAAAAACTGATAAACTGAAAATAAAACTAATTTAAAAACTGATAAACTGAAAATAAAACTAATTTAAAAACTGATAAACTGAAAATAAAACTAATTTAAAAACTGATAAACTGAAAATAAAACTAATTTAAAAACTGATAAACTGAAAAGAGAAACTTAACAAATGAACTTAAAGAATGATCAAATAAATATAGGTTTAACTAGAGAAAATAAAAGCATAAAAACAATATATTTTTTATTTTAGAAGTGTTTCAATTAATAGCTCAAACCTAATTAATTCAATTTAAAAGCAAATAATACTTTAAGTTAGATCATTTTACATTTCTAACTAAGTTAGTGTAGTGCATAGTTTGATTTATTAGTACATTTATATTTTATATTTATTATGCTCTAATTTTCAAAACTTGCAAAGAGTCATGGCCAAGTTACCAATGGCCAAGTTGCCACACAAATTTTTCTAAATTCTATGATGTGAAACACTTTTAGATTAAAATAAAGAAATCAATTTTTTACTTTTATTTTTTCTGGTTTATTTTTATTGTATCATTAAGATTTTTATTTTTGTTTCTCTTTTCATTTTATGGTTTGGTTATTTTTATTTCAGTTTCTCTTTTCATTTTATGGTTTGGTTATTTTTATTTTTGTTTCTCTTTTCATTTTATGGTTTGGTTATTTTTATTTTTGTTTCTCTTTTCATTTTATGGTTTGGTTATTTTTATTTCAGTTTATATCTGTTTAATCAGGAAATTTTTAAACGCTCTAATTTTTAAAGCTTGCAAAAAACCATTTTCAATACAAAATAGTATTCCACAATTTGCATCTCTGCCAAGGTAAACATTACTGATTTAAATTAAATGTCTAAGAATATAGCGATAAGAAAAGCGTCTTAATTCAAAACTGATTTCCAACTATGTAGTAAGTTCATCAACAAATTTACTTATTCTTCTTTTATCCACTGAGCAAAGGTATTTTTTAAAAGTTGTAATGCAGGAATAAACTAAATTAACTTTCATGCTTTTTTCCCTTAGAACATTAGTAACATTTAAAGAAGGAGTGACAATTGTTTATAAATTTAGTTGTCTATCCGTTAGTTGGTGTTTCATACAGTTTTCTTTGTGTGCACTCAACTAGGGCTAGTTCTATAGAACCATGATTTTTAAAAATCCATCCCAATAAGTTAGAAGTGCTTTTAAAGTGCATTTCTGCATCCATTGGAGGCCTTAGCCTGTCTGAGTCACTCATTGAAAGCTACCTGTTTGACCAATAATGAGTGAAATAATCCAACTAATTTATTATCTTTGTTAATTAATGTCACAAAAATAGGTTGGTTTTGGCTAGCTGATTTCACACAAAGTTGGAGTTTATAAGCACACAAAGTTAAATTTTATAGCACAGCAACCTAGCCAATTTATTCCAAGAAGTTTAAATGCGTACGACATACTAGGAGTAGTGTCAGTTTTAGCTCGTAAAATATTTTGTTGGAATAAAAATTTATATTCATTATCAAGTTTTAAATTTCCTGAAATTATTTCTTAGTGTTCTGTTTTTATGACCCTGCAATTATTTCTTAGTATTATGTTTTTATGACTCTGGAAAGTTTAAAGGCTCCCTCAAATTGAGGGGGGTTAAAAGTTTATATTGTCATATATTTTGAAAAATAAGAGATTCTTGCATGAAATTTGAAATTTTTTGATGAATTTAAATTTTAGTATAAATAATTTAAAAAATTATAAACTTGTTGCTCCCACGTTAATACTCTAATATTGTTGGTGTATTCTACAAATAAAGTGCGCGATGTACTAAAAGGACAGAGAAATTATTAGTAAAAATCTAATTTTTTTAACAGGCTGTAGGTTTATCAGGAAGAATGTCTAAACATTATTCTGCAACCCGGAAGTTACATCAACTACATTAAAATTAAAAAATTAATTATGAAAAGAATTTGTAAAATTAGGATAGTTTTATTTGCGTAAATTTTCCTTATCCAAATGAGTAATGTTTTTAAATTTTTCTTGTAAACATGGTATACAATTTTTTGAAATGTTATATTAGGCAGGCTTTATATGAAAAAAATTAGATAAGTGTTGTTACTAATATATATATATATATATATATATATATATATATATATATATATATATATATATATATATATATATATATATATATATATATATATATATATATATATATATATATATATATGTATATCTATATATATATATATATATATATATATATATATATATATATATATATATATATATATATATATATATATATATATATATATATATATGAGTTAAAATAAGTGCTAGATAATAGCCTCCCTTGGACCGATTTTGAGACCTGTTTGAGGGGGCAATCAATCATTGTTTATATTATAGAATCATGCAAAGTTGGACGGATTTTTTACTTCCCAGAAGTTTTTTGAAGAAAAGAATTTTTTCAAAATACAAAGTCATTCTAATAAAACTTTAAAAAGTATTCCATGAAAAAAAAAACACTTCTTAATTTTTAATAATTATTATTTGTATTATTAATAATACAAATAATAATTAACTATTTATTTAAATAAATAGTACTTAAATATTATTTTAACTATTTTATTTTTAAATAACAGTAAAAGTATAATAACTAATAAATTTTTCTTTTTTTAAAAATTCAATTTTTTTAGTGAGCCATGAAAGTGATGCGACTGATGATGATCTAGAAACAACTTCTTTTAATGCTTTTGAGATTTCTGATGAGCGTTCACAAAGCTGGCATGGACAAATTGAAGTTAACTCTCCCCAGTTGAAGTTTTCAAATGTAAAAAGATCTTGTAGTGATCTTCCTAATATAGCTCCAAGTAAAGTTTATTTTCAAATAATAATAGTTATTGTTGTTATAATAAGTAATACATTACAGTACACGCTTTTTTTCTCTTTGTATATATATATGTGTATATATATATATACATATATATATATATATATATATATATATATATATATATATATATATATATATATATATATATATATATATATATATATATATAAATTAACTCTTTTTTTCTCTTTGTATATATATATATATATATATATATATATATATATATAAATATATATATATATAAATATATATATATTTATATATATATATATATATATATATATATATAAACATATATAAATATATATATATATATATATATATATATAAATAAACATATATAAATCTATATATATATATATATATATATATATATATATATATATATATATATATGTATATACATTAACTTTTTTTCTCTCTGTATATATATATATATATATATATATATATATATATTATATATATATATATATATATATATATATATATATATATATATATATATATATATATATATATATAAACATATATAAATCTATATATATATATATATATATATATATATATATATATATATATATATATATATATATATATATATATATATATATATATATATATATATATATATATTCATATATATATATATATATATATATATAGATATATATATATATATATATATATATATATATATATATATATATATATGTATATACTTATATATATTTATATATATATATATACACATACATATATATGAATTCCTCAAGGATCTCTTCTTTGGGCTCTTTTATTTTTAGGGTGTGACATCTGCCCCCTATATTCTAAAAAAGATATGTTCATATTCTTAAAACCTTCTATTTTTCTATGGTTCTCACAAGCAACTTTGTTAAATTTTTTCAAGTTTTTATTGAATTTAGGGGGAGCACAAGACCCTTAAACACTTACCAGGTCCCTAATATATAAAAAAAAGTTTTTCAAAAGTATATCTTGTTGGGTTTTAAAAGAAGCAAAATTATATAAAAATTTTAAAAATAAAAATCATTTTATAAAAATTTTTTTTTTAATATCAAAAAAATACAATTTTTTTTATTTTAAGTTTAAAAAAGGTCATTTTTTTGCAAGAAACTCTAAAATAATAACTTTTTTATAAAATGATTGTTATTTTAAGATTTTTTATCTAATTTCAATATTTTTGGAACACAACATGACATTTTTTTATATATAATATAAAAAAATGTCATGCACAAAGCAAGGCACACGGCGAAGTGTCAGGTAAGGTCCAAGCAAACATCACCTATAATAAAAAAAGTTGAGCTAATAAGTAATAGTAAAGTTTCTATTAATACTTTTTATGAGTGGCTTCTTAAATGTTATATATTATTGCTTGGCGCCTTCTTGAACTTCTTTGCAAACAGGCATCCAATTTTGTTCTCATGTTAATAGTCATCAAAAAATACCACCCACTGCAACAATTCTGGAGATTTTCAAAATCGTGATAACAATATTGTCGATAAACACGCTTCGCTAGCTTTTGAGTTAAAGTTAAAGTACTTAATGCTTTTTTTTCTATTAATTAGAGAAAAACAGGAAAAAAAAGGAAACATACTTATGTTATACTTTTAGTAAAGTGTTTTATATATTCCATTTTAAGGATAAACATTTTCATATGCCACAAGTGTTTTATATATTCCATTTTAAGGATAAACATTTTCATATGCCACAAGTCAACTTTAAATGCAAATGAAAATTAAAGTCTGTTTGAAAATGGCACAAGTCTCGGACTTGTGCCATTTTCAAATAGACGCAACTGTAGTGACGTAATCTCACTTTATTTGTAATAAAAATGGAAAATCGCAAGTTTACTGAAAATGCATATATATCTAAAAAAAGAGTGTCTGGTATAAGAAACAGTGGAAATTATAAACACGAAAAAATAAAAAAAGCCAAAATTGCTGGAGAAGCTTATAAAAACCACAAAGGAAATGATGTGGCATCAAGGCAAACAGGTGCTTCTTGCAGGTTAGTTTTTTCTTCTATAATATAGAATGACTTTATTCGTTCTCAAATTTTTGCTTATTTACTCATGTTTTACCACCAATATTTGGAGGTAAAACATCTTGATATATAAATATTATAATTTTAACTTTTTTAAAATTATTATAATTCTATTTATTTACAGATGTATTTCGAAGTGTTTGGAGCTTGTATCTGAAGATGTTATAGAAAGTACAATTCAGTTTGTTAACAGATTTGATAGTAAAAATGCCCAAGACACATACTTACAGTCATTGATTGAAAAGAAGGAAATAAAGAGAAGAGGGTTTAGATCTAAAGAACCTAAGGAAAAAAATTTTTCTTTTATTTATCACATTAAGGTTGAAGGTGTGATAAAAAAAGTATGCAAGAAAACTTTTTGCAGTATGCATGGAATTTCTATTAATTAAGTTAGATATTTATGCATTTTATTAAAAAAAAAGAGTAGGCTATAGATCACAGAGGTAAATCTCAGGGATCATGATGCAAATCATTACCTGGAGATACATTAACAAAAGTATGTGAGCATATTGAATCATTTCCTGTTAAATATGTGCACTACTATAGTAAAGATGCATTATCTTATTATTTGGTAGAAAAACTCAATGTGAAAATTATGCACACGTTATACGCACAAAAATATCTAGATCATCCTGTTAAATATAAGTTCTACCTTGAATTTTTCAAAGAAAATTTTAGTTTATCATTTGGTAGAAAGCAAATAGATGTCTGTGGTCTGTGCGAAGAGTTAAAAGTAAAACTAAAAAACCTACACCTTAATGACAATGCAAAAAGAATATATCAAGCAGATATTGAGATCCACAAAAGACTAGCAAACAAATTTTACAAAAAAATGCAGGAAGTTAAAACTAAGTGCAAAAGTGATCCAAATGTTTATGGGATTGCATTTGATTTTATGCAAAATTTGCTACTTCCACATATCCCTGTCCGGGAAATATTTTATCTACGTCAACTATGGCTGTATAGTTTTGCATATATGATTTTAAAACTGGTAAATCAGTATTTGATTCACATTGTTAAGGAGTTGCTAACAAAGGTTCCAACGAAGTATGTACTTTTGTGCTGGATTATATTTTAAAAAATATTGGCAACGAAGCCAAAGAATTGCACCTATTTTCTGATGGTTGTGCAGGTCAAAACAGAAATCATGCCATGGTCCGAATACTTTTATCACTCGTAGCTGAACTAGATAACGATATAAATGAGATACAATATTACCTACCAAAATAAGGTCACTCATTTTTGACTAATGATAGAATGTTTGGAACAGCAAAGTGACATTCGAAAAAATGATCGGGTTTACACACCAACAGAGTATAAAAATCTTATAGCTGAAGCAAGCAAAAAATTTGAAATTAGAAGGCCCAAAACTGAAGATATTATTGATGTAAAAAAATGGTGGCCAAACTATTATAAGAAACTTGTGCTATCTGTGGATTCCTATGGAAAAGGAGTACCCAAGGACAAAAAAGTTACTTTTGGTATTTCTAAAGTGTCATTCTCTAAGACCACACCAGGTTTAGTGACAACACGTGAATCCATAGATTGTTTAGTTAGTTATGATTTTCAGCTATTACAAAGGATGGGTACAAGGCCAACCTTACCAGTAAGTAGTTCTCCTGCATATGTTGGAAAATTGCCTATCATTGAAAAAAAGATATCAGATTTGAGAAAAATAGAAAAATATATTCCATATTCAATAGAAGAGTACCAAAACTTCTATACAAAGGTTTTTGCTTGGCCAACAACTTCAGCAAACAATGAATTAAGTGATGATTAACTAATAATAATTTTTTTTATGTAATAATAAATCATTATTGTTCTGATAATCTTTGGATTTTTATATACAAAAAAGTGTTCATTTCGAAAAAGACATAAGTCCATAAATTTAAATTAAAAATATATGTGTTATATGTTGTTTTTTTATAATAAATAAAACTCTAAAAACTTATGTATGACTTTTATTTATCTACTCTTATATTCAGTTTCTTTAGCACCATAGACTTTTTTTCTTATAAATTTATTTTTGTTGATCCTGAAAAGTTTGAATAAATGGACTTGTGCTCTTTTCCAAATGACGGGTTTAATTGGTTAGTCATTCTTCTTCAACCATTATTGTTTCTCGGGCACGAGGATAATTGTTGTGGATCTCATGTAATTCCTCCCAATTCTCAATGTCAGTCTCTACTATGAACCCTTCTTTAGAATCATCCGGTATTCCAAAGGTTTCTACGATAGATGATTACACCATTGGAAACCTTAACCTGGTAGTGACTCCATCATAGCCCATCCATATAAATTGTTAGCATCGTTGTGTAAGTAGCTACGTATTTGCTTTAGTCTCAGCCTTGACATCTCAGATTGTTTGCCTTTACAAATTGTTTCCTCACCATAGAGATACGACTGCTGAGTCCCTTAATAAAGTTATGTTGATATCCGTAAGGAACTTAAGATGGACTCTGGTCTTTATTAGTATTGCATTCCTTGAGCAAAGTGAAATGAAAATAAAGAAGTGAGCTAAATCCAAGTTGTAAACCAATGAAGTTTTCTTGAGTTTTTCAAAAATGTCGGCTAACAGTTTTACATTAGTCTTTGGATAATATCGTGGTAATCATTAAAAGTTTTGCAACCAAAAGCGTTCCAAACATTTTGTGTGTGTGTTGATAGTTTTAAATTTTGATAACTTTTCTAGTAAGCTTTGAATAAAGTGCTTAATAAAATGCTTCTTGATGTGGTAAACACATATTTAAATCTTTTAAATCTATCTATATATTTGTATGGGTAAAAGCCCTTGTGTCTCAGCATTAATAACTTGCTATTGGTTAATCCTTTTTGGGTTATAATCAAGTCTTCTGGTTTAAGATTTTTTGCTAGAGTATCAAGTGAGTCGTTCATAAACTGTAAGTTATCAATAGTTTGCAATTGACCTAAGCCAAAGGTCATTTATTTTTTAATGGTTTTTAAAATACAACTAATCTTTACTCCTTCAGTTTTTCACAGAGCCTGCATGATAAAATGAGAAACAACCTTATAGGCTATGAAAGACTACTGGCACCTTTGTTACACCTGGCTTATACAGAGCTTAAGATTGCAGCAGCTTGGTATTTTCTGGGAATATTGGAATGATCTCTGACATCGTCATTACCGAAATTTTTATTGCAGATGTAGCAAACTGATGCTTGCGCATATGAGGTCTTGTCATCTTTAGCCCAAAGTATTCTCTGGTTTTTTAAAAAACCTGTTTATCAGTATTTTTAACTGAAAATTTGATGACATCAAGTTTTAGTTTTATTCAAAGATGTTTGCTGTACTTTATTGTGCTGTTTGCTTTTTTTTCAACTCGGTACAATACACTAAAAACAGCCTACTCAAAGTATTGGTTATCCATATTTTTTACATTTATAACACATTGTTTTGGGATGTATCCTGGTGTTTTAATGTAGCTCTTTCTTCGAAATGAAATATATTTTCCAAACCCAATGTTTGTTTTCCTGGTGTTTTATATTTTTCTTATTTCATCTACCATTTAATCAAAGCATCACTTTTGCTATTTTAATTTAAATAGCAGAAAAGTATGAATTTTTCACACACACCAACCTTAAATTGAGAAAGTATTGAATAAGATTTATTTAAGATATAAAAGTACTTTATATCTTATTTAAAGATTTCTTTTATTTAAAATATCGCGAAATTCCTTTAGATTGTTGTGATAAGTGGTTGTTTTTTAATAATTATATTGTACTTAATTGTTCTTTGTTTTTCTAGTTTTATCTGATGATTTAAAGAGTAAATCATATTATATATATATATATATATATATATATATATATATATATATATATATATATATATATATATATATATAATATATATATACATACATACATATATACATATATACATATAATATAATATATATATATATATATATATATATATATATATATATATATATATATATATATATATATATATATCAGAGCCTATTCTAGGAAAAAAATATGGGCGCCGGTACCCCCTTGTTTCATTGGACTTTAGCGGAAAATTAGCATTTTTTTCGTGAAAAAAAAACAATATTTACCATAAAAACATAAAAAAAAGTCCATGGTCGACGCTGTTGAAAATATATATATATATATATATACAGTGCTCGAAGTAGAGAAAAAAAAGTAAAGGGATTGTATTCGGTAAATTAAAAATACCATCCTACCTAATCATTATTATATATAGAGGTTTATAAAAAGGTTTGCGGGATGGTTTATAATTTATAAAAAGGTGAGGGGATGCCATCCTGCCTATATATATAATGTATATATATATAATGTAACCGGCGCCCATATTTTTTTCCTAGAATAATATATATATTGAACCCTTGTAATTAGGAAAAATGAGATCGGCAATAATTTGCAGACCTCAATATTTTAGAGGTTGGCATCAGGTTGGCAAAAAAATTGGATATAAAGGTCTTACCATAAAATATAGAAACAAAGATGGCAATATTTTGCTGACCTCAAACACTTTAAGGTCAGCATTGCTGAATATGTATAATTTGGTTTATTTAAAACATAACTCAGAGTTTCATACAAGGTTGCAATCATCAGATGTTAGAATCAAAACAACAAAAAAATAGCAAAAATACATAAAAATGCTATAGAATGATACAAGCTCTTTATGTTAGTTCAACAATTTTTTTTCACAGTAATTATTGAAAGGTTTTTGAGCAAAGAATACACAATTTTCTCCCAAGTTTATTAAGCCTTTCAAAATTTTCCTTCTAAAGATTGGTTTAAACCCTTTATCCCTTAATTTTCTTTTTAATTTATCTCCCTAAAGTTTCTTTTGATTTTGTAAGAAAAGAGGTTTTTGTGTTTATGCATTTTTTAATGTTTTTTTATTTAGTTTAATAAAATGAAAGTTTTTTTAAAGATTTTTAATGTTCTAATTGTTTAATTTTGTTATTTTAATGGAATCCCACTTTCAATAATTTTTAACAATCTTTGTGTTTAATTTTATTCAATTAAAAAGTTTATGAAAGTTATGAAATTTTAAGAAATTTTTTTCGATTGAACTAAGTTCAACCAAATAATGTTGCATGTTTTTGAATTTATATTTTTGTATTTCGGGTTAAAGTATTTCTTTATTTTGTTATTTTGAAATACATTCTTTAGAATTATACCAAGTTACTGTAGAATATTGTTTATTTACTTTATAGAAAAGTTTGGTGTTTTGTATTTTAGAATCACCTACTTTATCATATTCCTCCAATCAAGTTGATGGTGTTTTCTCAGATCGAATGCAAACCAATGGACTCACAAGCAGGGGACATCTAAACAATAATTCAAATTCTGATCTTGCGTATGAAAGGCAAAGATCTTATGGAAGCACTTTATCTCTTGAAATGAAACCAGATAAAAAAAATTTGCTTGGCATTAAACGCTTAGTGCGTAACCAAAGTAGAGACAGTGATTTGGATAAGGTTTCGAAAGGTTCAAAGCAAAACGACTTTGGCTCATCAGATAACATGAGTAATTGTAGTGAACAAGATATTGACTCATTATTTAAAGAAGAAGCTCAAAATCAAGCAGTAAAAGAAAAAAAAGAATATTATGGTCTGTATTTTTAATTTAATTTTTTTAAGCCAATTTCTCTACAGCAAAAATAATTCTTTATATTCATTTATTCAAATGTTACAAATCTTCACAGAGTAGGATATCTGAAACCCTACAGAATAGGATATCTGAGACCTTTCCAGAAATAACTTGTGACTGCAGGCCCATGCCTCAATTTTTGTTGTTTTGTTTAATTGCTGTATTAATAAAATGTTTTTCATTTTTCTTTTTTTTTTTCTTTCTTGTATAAATATTTAAAATTGTTATTAATAAAATGTTTACGCTCTTTTGAAATAGCTTTCTAAATAGCTTTATAACAAAATTTCCTTAAGTTATTATCTTTATTTTTTGTTTCCTTTAGAATAATAGTTAATAGTTGCAAATAGTAATCAACAAGATAAAATGCAAATTTTTTGTTAAATAATCTTATAAACATAATTTAAAAATAGCAGACTGGTGCAGAAAATTATGATTCAGGTTTGACATGTTGTTTATAGTCTAGCAAGTTTATTTTTTGTTTTATACTTTCTTTCAGATGCATTATGATTTTAAATCTTGAAAAAATTTTGGAATAGAAAATAAAATTGAGAAAGTTATATTAATATAAATAATAATATAGATATTGAATATAACAGACTTGGTCAATCGCACTCTATTCCTGACCATGCATATAATATTTAGTTGCAACAGTTTGAGGACTGTTGCAATTAAATATTATACACAACTTTTTAGATGTTTTAGGACATTTAAGTTTATGTATGTTTACATGAATTTCTAAAAAGTTAAATTTCAATGTGTTAAAAAAAATTAACTTGGTAACATTAATCTTTTGTAATCAAATGTTTTTATATTTACAAAACACTTTTAAACAAAATGACAATTTCATTTTATTGATTGTTTTAAAAAAAATTTTTTTAATTATATAATGTCAAGTAAGTTTTATTAAAAATTATATAAAGTTATATAAATTATATAAATACAGATAAATTTTTTATTTAAATGTAAATCTTTTAAAACAGTTTGTATGGTTGATTAAGACTTTCTTTAAGGGCTGTGTTTTTAATGAAATTTAAAAAATGATAATCATTAAAGTTAATAATACTAATAATCAAATAAACATAAAAACTTACAGTACACAAACATATAGAAACTTACAAAACGCAAACATACATATATACATAATAAATGCAAACATACATATATACATAATAAATGACAAATGGATGAACATACATAATATACATAGCAAACATACATATATACATAATAAATGACAAATGTTTGAATAAAACACAAACATACTTTTATATAAATTTAGAGGTCCATTCAGAACACAAATTTAGAGGTCCATTCAGAACGCAAATTTAGAGGTCCATTCAGAACACAAATATACAAATATATTAAAAAACACATTCACTTAACATTATCAGTTGTGTTGTTAAGCATTTTCACTTCTTCAGAAATTATTTTTTCTTATTTTTAATGATATAAAATAAAAGCTATTCTATGAATTTAAAAATTTTCTTATATTTTGTTCTAGAAATGATGTTTAATTTGTGAATTATTTAAAGAAAAAGAAAAATTGTAGTATAAACATATTTTGTGTTTGGTCCTAAAAATATTGTAAAAATATATATTTTTTGATTATAATAAAATGACAGGAAAAAAAAAGGTGACAGGAGGCTGCAAATAAACTCAATTCTTTTATACTATATAGACTTTCTATTTTCATATGTAAAAATTCCACAGTCCAGTTATCCCTGGAAATTGAGTAATTTAAATTCGAACTTAAATTTTTCATGTGTCTTGATATTTGAGGTTGCGTAATAATGAAAATCAACTTTTATAGGCGATTTAAGAATCCCTATTATAAGAATATCTATTGATAGTCAAAATGTTGTTGATAAAAAAAGGAGAACTAGATTGAATTTTACTAATTTTAAACATAAAATCAAGTTCATTAGAAAATTCTAAAAGCAATCAAAGTGAGGCATAATCTAACTTTGAAGATGAAAAAAAAAAAGATCAAAAATTTTTAAAGCAAATTGAAAGGCATATAAAAATATTGAAAAAAAACAAACTTGTGGCTGAAATGGAAACTTGGAGAAAAGAAATTGGGATAAAACTGCCCGGGAGTCTACCTGCAGCAGCCTCATCAGGGTGGTATAGAAGAAGAGGGAGCTACACAGGCTGAAAAAGGGTGGAAATCATAAGACTAAAATAAAAATTGAGCTGTTGACATTTATTTGAATTAAAAATCATATTATTTAGGACACCCTGTATCTTTTTTTTTACTCTTTACAATACATTATCATTTAATTCGGTGATCAACCTGAAAAATGTACCTAAAACAAAATTCTGGATAATTTTGTGGACATTGTAGAGGCGCATGCAAATGAACTAGAAAAAAATGAGGAAAAAAGGAAAAAGTAAAATTTCCAAGAATATCAGGAAGCAACTGCTTAAATCTATAACTTGGGTCTATCTATAAATAAGTATCATATACAAATAAATATTTTTCCAGGAGCTAAGACTTGAGCTTTTCCCAAAACTAAAGGAATTGATATCAATTGATGTCAAACTTTATTCTTTGTGAACAATATAATCAAAGATACTGTTGAGTCTCTGCTTAATATATCCAGGTTTTTTCAAAATAAAATTTTAAATTTATCCTCTACATAAACATTCTGTACATGTAGACGATAAACTCAGACATGATGGTTCTGGAAACACAACTGTTGTTATCAGTTTTCTGATCCTCAAGTTGTTAACTTAAAATGAATATAAAAATGTTTTTTTTTCATTTGTATTTTATAGTTTATTTGAAAAATTTAGAAAATATGGGGGCATGACTCTTGGCGCCTCTCCCCCTCTCCCACTATTGCCCCACTACTTGGGTCAGAGTGCACATATAAAATATAACCTTAGAATCAGGTTCTTTGACCCAAAATAGGAATATTCTCAGATTATTACAAGATTTCATAAACAATAAAGTTAGGATTTTTTTTCTTCAAAAAACTGCATTCTGGGCACGCTGCTGGTGTTGGTACATTGCGGAATTTTTCAAACATTTTAAAGACACTGCTAAAAGAAAAAATCGTTTTAATGTTTTATAGTAATTCTATGATTATTTTTTTACTTTAAAATAATTGTTTCAAATATTTTAAACTTTACAAACTATGAAATCCTAATAAAACTATTGTTAGTTTTATTAGGATCTTGTTGAAATAAACCATAAATACATAAAAAAAGACTTATATTATACTCTTTAATAAATTAACGAAGTTTGTGCTTTGTACGAGATTTCATAGTCAGAAGTCATTCATAAATAAAGGTTTAAAGTATTAGATTTAGTCAGTATGTAGTAATCCAGTTGTTGTGATAATTATTGTCAAAGTTGATGAATTTTATTTGAAATAAATTTCATAAGACCTAGGAAAGATTTATGATTAACTGTTTTACAAAAGGAGAGCTCATATTCACGATTGACTGTTCTCAGCAATCAAAAAAGTAATGATTATAATGGATTATTTAATTGATTTTTTCAAGAAGCACACATTTTTTGTTTTTTTTAACTAAGGTGTAGTTCTGATTAGTTATAATTTTTATAATGGAATATTTAATTGATTTTTTTAAGTGGCACAAGTTTTTTTTTTTTGTACTTCAGTATAGTTCTGTTTAATTAGAATTTTTATAATGGATAATTTAGTTGCATTTTCAGCAAGACTTGATTTAATATTGTTTAATTATAATTATTTTGTTAGTTAGACCCCCCTCCTTCTCCCTCCAGTTAACAAAACTCATTTTCATATAACTTATTCTGTTAAGTTACTACTTTTTTTTATTGTTTTAAGCTTCTTGTATTTTTTAATTCTTTCATGCTTCATGTATTTCTTATTCTAATACCTTTTTGTTTGTTTTTTGTGATTCTTGAGTTTTTTTGTGTTTCTTGTTTTTTGTGATTCTTGAATTTTTTTCTCTTTTTGTGATTTCTTGAACATCTGCTCTTTGAAATTCTTTCATCATATTTTTCTGAACATGGGAAATATTTTCTCTTGTTTATAAAATTGAATACATTAGGGTAGTTGGGTAGTTAATTGGGTGATAGCTGATTTGTTGAATTGATGCATTATCTATGAGTGCAATATCTTTTAATGCACTTACAAGATTGTTATGTTTGCATTTATTTACTCTGCCTTATTAAAGTTCATAAATAACAAGTTACTAAAGTGTTGTGTAAATATGACTTTGGTTTTGGTGCTTAAAGTTACTAAAGTGTTGTGTAAATATGACTTTGGTTTTTATAACTTTTTTTATTTACTTTTAAAAATCAGATTTTAAGCATTTTGAATATTTTGTTACAAATAAAATAAATGATTTACTTTATGTTTGTTGAGATTTTTAAATTATATAAGTGTGAGTTTTGAAATTATAAAAACCATGTGTGATTGCAATCATTAGGATTTTACAAACAAATTTAATGTTATATTGAGCGTTTAGACCACCCTATTTCCCCCAAATTTATTGATATAATGAGCCTTTAGACCAATTTATTTCCTTAAAAAATATTATAATGAGTCTTCAGGTAAGGTATATTGAGTCTTCAGACCTCTCTATTTCCCCCAAAATATCTTAATAATATATTGATTCTTCAGACCTCTCTATTTCCACAAAAGTTTTCAATGATATATTGGGCCTTCAGACCACTTTATTTCACCCCCAAAATTTCAGTAATATATTGAGTCTTCAGAATACTCAATTTTCACAAAAAATTTTAACAAACCAGCAAATTTTTTATTGTAATCTTTTTATTCTTTCTTTAAAATAGTGATGAGATTATAGTCAACATTTCAAAAGTTAAAGTGAGCAGATTATATTGTTGATTATATTGTTGAGAGCAGATTATATTGTTGTGAGCAGATTGTATTGTTAATTTGAATTCTTTGTAGGTAAAATTGGAATGATTGAGTTTACACTTAAATATGATGCAAGTACAGAAGAGCTTCATGTTATCATACAAAACTGCAAGGTATAATAATTTATTGAAATTATTTAAGCATCAATAAATATAATTTTTTTTCCTTTTTACAATTAGTACAACATACAAATGCATAAATATTTGAAACAACATGAAAATTCAATTTTCATGTTGCGTTTTTTTTGTGGGTTTTTGGATAGTTTTACTTTTATTGGAATAACTACATAAAATTTCTAGTTTTATATTTTGGGTAAAAGTTTTTAATTGCTCTACGAACACCTTTGACACAAAAATAAAGAAAATTTATATAAATTTTCATGCAAAATTTTTTTCATGCAAGTAATTTTCATGCAAGTAAAAAAAAATAAATACACACTATAATTTTGTTTAATACTAGTACCCACCTTATCCAATAAAATTGTATATATAAATATACAACTATTTAAATAATTATATATATATATATATATATATATATATATATATATATATATATATATATATATATATATATATATAAAATTATTTAAATATATATTTTTTATATAGTCACTAAAAACATTGCATTCAAGTGTCAATCGAGATAATGTTTGTAAATTTTAATATTACCAATACAAGTAAAATATTCTCTTTTAAATAAGTCTTAAAATATTTCTTTAATGTCATCTTGTTATTTACACTGTCTTTTTCTTAACAATTTTGGTTTTTTGCTTTTTAGTCCTCATGGAGTTAACATGTCAAAAGCAATATAAATAGCTCATGGTGCACAAGGGTGTTTTATTCCCAACAATTTTTAGAAAATGATTGTGTTACTTGCATAACAAGGTAAATATTGGGCAAAAAACAAGTCTGTAAATTTTTTTTAATTTCAAAATCTAGAAGTTGAAAAAATTGATCTTGAAAAAAAAGAATTTGAAATAATTGCATTTTTTACAACTTAAAAAATAGTTTTATGTCTTCTTACTTGGTAATACTTACTTGATAATAGACGTTATCAGATGAATATTTGACTAAATTTTAAAAAACTTGGTTAATGTCTAGAGGTCTATGTGTTATAATGTTTTATTTTTTGATATTTTCATCAAAAAAATTGTTCCTACAGATTTAATGCCTTAAAAGGAGTTGTTGCTTTGTATGCAAAATACATATTTGAGCATAATTGACCACTAAAAGTTGTTGCTTTGTATGCAAAATACATATTTGAGTATAATTGACCACTAAATGTTGTTGCTTGATTAAATTGTTTGCATTGCAAAATAAATATTTGTATGTATGTCAATATATTTTTATAAAATTATAAAAGAAAAAGTAGGATGTTATATCAATTAGTAAAATTGAAATTTTACTTGTGTCGAAAGGAAAATCAAGCTTTGATTGGTGATTTTAACATATGATTGTGTCGAAAGGAAAATCAAGCTTATTGGTGATTTTAACATATGATTGTGTCGAAAGGAAAATCAAGCTTTGATTGGTGATTTTAACATATGATTGTGTTGAAAAGAAAATCAAGCTTTTGATTGGTGATTTTCGCAAGCGTGCATAAAATAAAGAGCAATGTCAATTTATTTTTCAACACAGAAAGTAAAATCTATCATTTTTGAAATTAAAACTAATTCTTTATACTATCTTTTATATTATTTGTACTTTCTTTATTAAGAAACATATATATAAATGTATCTTATTCATATTTTTAAGAGAAACTAAATCCTAAAATTGCAAGAAAAGTCAGAATAATTTATTAAAGTTTCTTGTTAACCTGAACCCTTCAAAAAAAAATTTATTTTCTAAACTGATTTTGTTTCTTAATCGTAATTCTTCACAATAAAAAAAATGAAATGTTGTTTTGTTATTAAAATTATATATTAATATAATATTATTTGCCTGATTGAAAAATGCATTTTCATTAAGTTTTTAAAAAGTAAAAAGTTTTTTAGCTTTATAATTTTAAAACAGCCACCTCTAGACATTACCTCTAGACATTAACCAATTTTTGTAAAAATTTGGCCATATGTTCATCAGATAACTTTTAATATATACACCAAGAAACATAACATCAAGTTACTTATTTTTATTTTTATTTTAACTTAGTAAGTTATTTAAAGTTGAAAAAAGTGTAAAAAACAACATTTTTTCAAAATGGCATCCTCTTGATAATGTTTATAAAATATGGAAAAACTTAAAGATGTGTTTCTTGCCCATTATTTAAGTTATGTAAGTAAAGTAATCATTTTTCAAATAAACTGTCCAGAATGAAACACCCTTATGGTACACTGTCAATATTTTTTTTTTGTTTAAAACAACATTTTTATGTAATGTTATGATAAAAAACAACATTTTAATTTAATGTTAATAATAAAAAACAGGTGAAAAGTATCATCAAGATAATAGTAAGCGGAAAAAATTTTGATAATAATGTTAGGATGTACAGCTGGTTGTGGAGGACTATTGGCTTTTAATATTTGATTATTTTCGACTGCTTGTCTATTCTTCTAGATATTTTTAGTTTCCTATATATTTATCTATATCCATAGGTCTGACTCTCATGCCATTTTTGGTTCTTGGATCATGCTTCTTTTATTATTACTTTCAAAATGAAGATTTTAATTTCCAGCTCTCTTTTTCTATTTGCTATTTTTTTATTAATACAAAATCTAATATTTTTGTGATGATGTTTTATCATGTGCTTTTTTAAAGTGTATCATATGCTTTTTTAAGTGTATCATGTGCTTTTTTAAGTGTATTATGTGCTTTTGTAAGTGTATCATGTGCTTTTGTAAGTGTATCATGTGCTTTTTTAAGTGTATCATGTGCTTTTGTAAGTGTATCATGTGCTTTTGTAAGTGTATCATGTGCTTTTTTAAGTGTGTTATGTGCTGTAACATTCATATTCATCAACATATTTTACTTTAAAAATCAGTTTTTAGTTAACAATTCATCACTAAATAATTTCTTTTAGATTATTAAAATTTTTAAAAATCTATTTATTTAACTATGAAATTAAAATTAAAAAATTAGTTATAATTTAAAACATAATAAAAATTTGTTTAAATTTTACTTTAATTTGTTTTTTTTTTTCATCTTGTTTTTTTTTAAACATTTTTTTATTTGAATCTTATGAACTTTAACTCTTTATTTTAAATCTTTCAAATGAAATTTAGATTTTTAGTTTCTTCATTTTCCTTTTTTTTTTTTTCATTTTTCTTTTTTTTTTTCATTTTTAAATAATTATTATTGCAATGATAATTATTGCTAATAAATGTCATTGCAAAGATCAAAATTAGGTATTATGCAAAAATGGTAATTTTTGCCAAGTTGATTTAAATTTTTTTACTTATTTGTTTAAATTGTGTCTCTATATTGAGATTTTCATTGATTAATTTCTTAAATGGATTTTTCTTTAATAAATTAACTCTTTATGAATAGTAAATTAATAGAATTATTAGATAAAAATTTCGTCATTTTACCAAATTGTCATAATTGTAAGTAATTTATTGAGATATTGACCCTAAAAATAAAACTTTAAATTCCACTAACATAAAATTAGGAATTGTTCCTTCAATATCTATCACATAAAGTTGTTAAAAAATCAGTTTGTAAGTAGTTCTTCCATCGCCACTTCAAATTTCACATGCTGATTAAATTGAACCCAATCAGCTTAAAGCTGAAGCTGAAATATCAGCCACAATCCCTACTTGACTTACAATCAAGAAGATTGAGGTTTAATCCCATACTATCTCTCTACAAAGTGGTTGTGTTAAAGAGTTTTAAATTGAAAAAGAGAGAGAGTTGCAAATAATAATAAAAAATAAAATGAGTAGCCTCCTCAACTGTAGTTCTATCTGAAACCATGGATATAGTTCTATCTGGAACCATAAGCCAACTTCATCTGGAACCTTGATCCAACTCCATCTGAAGCTTTGCAAAAGTAAATTTGTGAAAAGAAAAAAATATAATTGATTAAATTTGTGTATTAAAATTTATGTAAATTAACAAATATACTACAAAAAAAATATTTTGTACACTAGCTTTTCTAATTGATTCAATAATTTCAATGAGAGTGTGGGTTGTAAAGTAATAGTTGCAAATCCATAATGATGTATGTAAAGGCACTTAAATTTTTTTAGGATAGAATGGAGCCTGTTATGCAATGATTTTTACAAAGTGTTTACTTATACATGAAAGAAGGGAGATAAAAAGTCTAATTAAAAGTCATTTTTTAAAAAATTGAAATGATTTCAACAACTTTAAAAACATCTTGGAAAATACATTTTTAAATGAGAATAGTACAAAGTAGCAAACATTTTGTGGAATAAGTTTTGTGGATAATAGAGCCTTTTCTGAGTTTTAAGTGTATTTTTTGATGAAATTATATATTTCATCTTCAATCACAGGGTTAATAAAGAACAATTTAGCATTAGGAATTTTAAGAATTCCATTTTTTTATGGGTTTAATATTTAATAAATAATATTTGTATTCAATTTAAGTTTAAAAAATGTGCTGTGAGAAGTGTTCAAAAAAGTTCTCACAGTACATTTTTTAAATGTACTGTGAGAACTTCATAAAGCTTTAGTTATAAAAACCTCTGCACTAATGGAACTCAGGAAGTTAGAAATAAAGACTTTGAAAAATGTTGTAACATTTTAGAGTTTTTTTGTTTTGTCAAGTTCTGCTATCTCAGGATAAATATACTATTTGTAAAAAACATATTTGGAATTCGAGGACTCTGAATAATTTTTAATTGGACAAAGGACTCCAAAACCACAAATTAAGTTTCTGAGGTTTAAAATAGTTAGAGACATAATCTATAGTTTTGGTACATTTTTTTTGCTTTAAGTAAACATTTTTGTCTTCCATTAATACTATGATGCATTTTATTTCATTCATATCATTTATTTTATTTTTATGAATATATTTTTATATAAAAATTTTTAGATTTGGATTTTACAATAATTTGTTCTAACAATTTTTTTTAGGGTTTGTGTGGTGATGTTGAGAAAGGGAAGTTACCTTTTCCATATGTAAAGACATATTTATTACCAGAAGCTAATAAGGTGTTTTTTTTTAAACTTCTTAAAAATTATTTTACATTACTAACTTCACTTGCAATTTTAGACATCAATCAAGTTTAAAGATCATATATACCAGGCCTTCACATAAGAAGCATGCAGTTGCATGCCTCTTATGTGAAGGCCATTTTAAAACGTGTTAAAAAAGCAAAGCAAACATAAATAAAATTTTTAATTTAATTGATTCCATAATTAGAATTAAACTGCTACAATATTTTCTAAGTACTTTATTGCAATGTAATTAAAGGTGATTATTGAAAAAAATATTCAATTTAGAGTTTAAGGCAAAATGAGTATAGAAGCTATCAAAAAATCATTACAAACGGTTTTATCATGGTAATATAATTTCTAATAAAACAAATTTTTTACATTACTAAACAAAATAATTAAAACAATCTTGAAATAATGGCATCTTCCTACTTTTTTTAAACTATACCAGCACATGTCATCATTTTTGTTTTTTTTTATGAATGTTGACTTAAATATATCAAAGATGCTTGGTAAATTTTTTTTTTTTAATTTTTTTCTAAAAACTTTTTTTTTACGCATTTGCGCAAGTGCGCAAATTATTTTAATTTAATTTTTTATAATTATATGCAAGTGCACACAAATTAATGATAAATGCAGAATAAAAAAAATTTGTTAAAGTTTTTAATGTAAAACAAACATTACTTCACTTTATGGAAAATAATATAATTAAAAAAAAAAAATGCATGCAAAAATTTATTTAAAATTAATACATTTGCTTTAAACTTTCAATGTAATTGCTAATTACTTAAAAGAAACCATGCTTAAACATTATGATTGCTTTCTTCAATAAAAGAAAGCGATCACTTTCTTCAATAAAAGAAAGCGATCATAATGTTAAATAATATTTAAGCACGGTTTTTTTTGAAGTAATTACAAAAGCAATCAATTTAAGTAAAATATTTCATGCTTTTGTAAACACATTTAAAAACCATGCTAAAACAAAATTAATTTCTTTAATAGCGTACTTAGTTTTTTTACTTGTAATGCTTTTGAAAAAAGTAGTTATGTTTTGGCATGGTTTTTTTAAAAGTCTCTAAAATTAATTATTTTTTATTTTAAATATGTGTTTTTTATAATAAATAAAAGTTATAAAAAAACTATCAATTGCAAAATTATTTGGAAAAAAAAATTGAAGTATTGCAGTTATTTTGAAAAAATTTTAATCAAATGCCAATGCTTGCCTAAACAAAATTAAAGTGATTTTTTTTTTTTAACAAATATGCGCATGTTTGTCAATTTTTTGCACCCTGTATCCTATTAACTTTTTAATAAAATTAATAATTTGCACCACAAAATTTTATTAAGTTTCATGGCACTTTTAAACAATCCAATTTATTAATTTTTAAACAGCCTAATTTACTTACGGTCAAGTTGTCATTGCGTGATCATATAAGGCATGCGACAGCACGCCTCTTATGCGAAGGCCTAATATACACATATACTCTTGCATATTTTTCCTAAAAAATTTTCTATAATAAACTGTTGATTTGCATGCAATGCAAATGCAATTGCATGCATGCAATGCAAATGAAATGCAAATAAACTACACCGTAAAATTTTAAAAACTTAATAAAGCATTTTTCTTTAAATTGATAGATTACCTACTTAAACCAAAACTCTGAATCATATCATATATGTAATTCCTGCATCTTCTCCCTTTATAAGTCAGTCAATTTATGCACACTCCAGTGCGGTTATCTAAAGAGAATTTTTTTTTATCATTAAAGTCTGTTTTGTTTACCATGCAAAGAACTATTTGTATATGTGTAGATATATGTTTTTTTTTTTTTTTTGTGTATGTTTATATATGTGTATATAGATAGAAGATGCATGAAGCGCCTATATTATCAACTTATTTATTCAATTGATTAAAATCTATATTTCTTTGATAAAATTGTGTTTTTACAATCTTTACTTTGGTTACATTTGATAATACCTTGTATATCTTTAAAAAATTTAAGATTTTTTTAGTTTTGTGTTCTTTTTTAATTTTAAAAATTGATTTTACATATTAAAATTTCATATTAAAGCAAAAGTAATGAAGCAATACTGAAGAAGAATTCTGATATACCACAAAGAAGATACTGGTATACCAGAAAGTAGGCTTTTCTTAAAAAGTTTCTAAAAAAACCAAAGTTTCATGATGCTGTGTACAAAAGACATTACTATGACGCAGAAAAAAAGGTGATGCCCATGCAAATACAAAAAGGCCTTGGGTGAACTAAGAAAAAAATTAAAAAATACAAGATAAAGATATAACGATTTTTTTGTAAACCATCATTAATGCTAATTTATAAGACAAAAAGTTTAATTGGGCAAAACACATTCCATTGATTTAAATTGGGCAAAACACATTCCATGATCAATCGAAAAATTGAAAAATATTATTAAGACAGGTTTATAAGATTATATTAATTATAAAATTTCTAAAAATTATTATTTTTAATAATAATTTTTAGAAAGTTTAGAAAATTATTATTATTTTTAATAATAATTTTTTTAAATTTATTTTTAAAAATTATTAATAACTTTGTAATTCTGTAACCAACAACAACAGTTCTGTAAACTATTTCAATCTTGTAACCTATTTTGTTATTTGTAACCCTGGCAGGCAACGAAAAAAAGAACTTCTACTTTAAAGAAAACAGCTGATCCAGTTTTTAATGAAACTCTTGTTTATCATGGGATATCAGAAACAGATATTCGAAGCAAAGGTTTAAAGTAAGTTTTTTTACAATAACTATTATGTTGAAAAACCAATATATATATATATATATATATATATATATATATATATATATATATATATATATATATATATATATATATATATATATATATATATATATATATATATATATATATATATATATATATATATATATATATATATATATATATATATATATATATATATATATATATATATATATATGTATGTATATATACATATATGTATATATTGAGTATATTTATTTTATCAAAAAAATATACGCTCTTTTTTACAACATCAAATTATTGATAAATATAAAAAAAAACCTGTGCTTTTAATGTGTTGTAATTATTAAAATCTTATTTGTTGCAGGAGCTTAAAAACTTATGATATTTTAAAAGTATTTTAAAGTATAGCATTGTAATTTAAATTTAATTTTAAACTTTGCTAAAAATTATTTAAACTTGTTTAACAAAAATTATTAACTGTATCTAAATTCGGTATTTGAAAAAGATTATATTTCCTTATGATTTATTTCTTAAAACAATCCTATATTTAATATAATCTTTCCATCATTTGTTTATCACAATTTATTTATTTAGTTTTTATGTATTCAATTTAATATTTCTAATAAAGATTATAAAGAATTTATAGATTTTACCAGTTTCCATATATATATATATATATATATATATATATATATATATATATATATATATATATATATATATATATATATATATATATATATATATATATATATATATATATATATATATATATATATATATATATATATATATATATATATATATATATATATATATATATATATATATATATATATATATATAATATAAAGCTTAAAACAACAGCTGCGTACAAACTAAATTTTTTTGTAATATACACAAAACCGTTACAAATCTTACATAAAAATGTTAAAGAAGACATTAAAAAGAAGCTGTAAATGATTACATAACATTATAAATATAAAGTTAGCAATTATTATTAAATTCTGTTTTTTTGGTTAATTTTTTTAAGCAGTGGTCTCCAACTGTGTGTAGAAATTTTGACACCATTGTCATAGTTAAAAAGTATAGAAGTGTGTTTTATTTCCAGGTATGTTGAGGCGAAGTTTTTTCAAGTGATTTGATTGGTCACATTCGAAATGTGACCAATCAAATCACTTTTTTCACATCAAACTTTTCTTTCATTGTACTCTGATTTTATTGCTAGAGTTTTCGAATGTGACCAATCAAACATACCATAACATTCTCTACAATGTTCGGTTGCAAAAATTGCATCCCATTTACCTTTTAAATAGTTTTTTTGATGTTCTATGCATCCCGTTAAAATTTTCTTTTTTGTTTTCGCCAATGTATATACTGCCACAAGAGCACGTGAGTTTGTAGACATCAGGATTACCATTACATATACACATTACCGTTACATTACATATTTTTTAACGTATTTTTTACTTATTCTTGAGAACCATGGAAGCTTAACTTTATATTTACTTGTTTCTGTTTTACTATAGTTAATTTTTTTTTTTTTTTTTTGTTAATTCACCTCCCCAAAGCGGAGAAGGCCACTACAGACAAGGAAGCTACTTAATTGTGGTTATAACTCTCTCTCAACTCTATAACTCCAAAACATGAACCTTGACAAACAAGGCCGCTTCGCAGAGAAACAAGTTTAGCGTGGTACTACCAGGGACATGGTGGGGATCACTTGCTTATGAAGCGAGTGCTTCACCACTACACCACTACCGCATTTTAGAAAAGTTGTTTCTTTTCTGAATATAGTTCTTAGCAATTGTTTCAAGCTATAATCTATCCTGTCCATTTTCTGCAAACATGTATATATATATATATATATATATATATATATACATATATATATATATATATATATATATATATATATATATATATATATATATATATATATATATATATATATATATATATATATATAATTTTCAAATTTATTATTGTTCTGTTCTTTAAGAACATTGAGCACTCTATTTGTAAAATAAATTAGCTTAATTTATGTATATAAAGAGAGAAATTCTTTTTGAAAATTTTTATTTTATTGCTAGGCTATCTGTAATGGATGAAAAGTCTCGACATAGCACAGTTATTGGTGAAACATCCATTCCTTTAAAGAATTTAAGTATGCAACCTGTACAACAGTTTCGAAGAATATTGGATGTTAGAAACAAT